ACCTTTATTTGACCCTCTAACTCTAACACTTTCTATTCTATTTTAATTCTACTTTATCTTCTTTTTTTATTTTATTTTTATTAAAAAAACAAAACAAACAAACACTAGGTTTCTATTTTTTCTATTCTATCTACTTGTTTTTCTTTGTGTGTGTGTGTATATGTGTGTGTGTATAATATATATATACACCTTGCTACGTGTACTGCGTTAGGCTAACCGAGACTTGTCATTTGCACTTATATATTGTTGCTCTTTTGTTAGTTTTGACTGCTTTTATTGTCCTCATTTGTAAGTCGCTTTGGATAAAAGCGTCTGCTAAATGACGAAATGTAAATGTAAGTGACCAGAACCTCCTCTGGAGAATATTTTCAAAACACCTTGAGGTCTTGCAGCCTCCTGCTGGTTAACTGAACGTTTTTGTTCATGGGCTGCCCTCAGAACATGCATTTATAGTAGTGGCCACAAAATATAAATAAACTCATGATGTATGGCATAGCAGGGGATTCACAAAATAGCATGTATCCTCCTGAAGTCAATGTATGAATGAGATCAAAAGCATGTTTATGTGTGTGTGTGTGTGTGTTGTGTGTGTTTGTGTGTGTGTGTGTGTGCGCGTTTTTGTGACAAATTAGGACATAAATTTGTATAATGACAAAGGTATGACAGGTATTACAAGGAGAAGGTGACTTTTCAGGACATTACCCCATGTCCCCACTTTTCAAAATGCTTATAAATCACACAGAATGGAGTGTATTGAAAATCTGAAATAGCACAAAGTTTCCTGTAAGGGGTAGGTTTAGGGGTAGGGTTGGTGTAGAGCAATAGAATATACGGTCTATACAGTATAAAAACCATTACGCCTATGGAGAGTCCCCACTTTTCACAAAAACAAACCTGTGTGTGTGTGTGTGTCCAGATACTTGTTTCTAATTGGAGTGAATCATGCCTCCATTTCTCTTCCTGTGCTGACGACCGTTCTCGATCGAATCAAGAACACGGTAACGGCCTGCTGCTCATCTGCAGATGTCACAGCGTGTTTAACGGAGAAGGTGAGATGACGCTTTTCCATCTGAGACTGACATGATCTACCAGGTTCACGACAGGAGATCTTTGTTTCATAACCGGTTGAGTTGATGTCACATGTTCTGTGCTTAGCTGCAGATTTTCGGTTATTACACAACCAAGCCATTCTTCAGATTTCAAGGGTTTTGTATTTGTATTTTCAAGGACTGTAAGACAGCTCAAAGCTGGGTAGACGGCTATTGTGAGAGGCTTCGATCTTTTTGATGCATGTCTTGCAGCACAATGCCTCATTGAGTGACTTCATTTTGCTGTGAAGACTCATCTCGGTTTTGAGATTGGGATTGTATTGTTTGAAGCTCTCATCAGAGCTGAGACGCTATGCTGATGGATTCCAAAGTTCTTTTGGCAATAATACAAGATAAAATCGCATTGAGTTGAGGTAGACGGCATTGCATAAGGATGCTTGAGAAAAACAACCTTGATGAAATCCTATTTTAATGCTTTCACCACCGGAGCTGCAGGAGAACTGCTTTTAATGCTTGAAGATGATATCAAAATCTCACAGGTAGCCTGATCTAAAGCGTGTCACTGTTTGGTTAATTTAGCCTTTCAGTTTTCCCTTGCAGATCCTCCAATTATCTGCTTGCTCGCTGTTTTTCCACATACAGTAAATGGCGAAGTGCGAAGAGTTGCTGGTGAGAGCATCTAATTGAATGGTCTAAACGGAATCTGTATCCAGAGAATGAACGTACATTAGCATGCACAAACGCAGCTTGCTCGCCAACTGAGAGAGGGTTGCGAGATTTCAATTAATTTAGAGCGACAGGGTGCCCTTTGTACTCGCTGGGTGCTAACCAAGCCCGAACTGTCATAACAACAACGCGGTACTCTCTCATCTTCTCTCCTGCTGCTTGACTTTGAACATTGACAAGGAAAATACATAGTCATTTTTTATTTTAAGGTTTGGATTGCTGGTCAAACTGTTCTTTCATTTTTTTTTCTTCTCTCTCTCTCTCTCTCTCTCTCTCAACTTTTATCAAACAGGAGAGTAAATTGAAAAAGATTACAGCACTTCTGTCCAAGTTGGACACTTGTTCGCGGTACTTCAGACTGGACCTGCCATCGTTCAAAACTCTGTAAGTTATGGTTAGACTGGAAAAGAACATCATCAGAAGATGTTTTTTAACAACAGGGAATTTGAAAGGAAGGAGCTGGTTGCAGATCAAAAGAAAACTCATCATCAATGCTTTATTTCCTGCAGGATGCAGAAGGAGGTGCAGGGGGAGGGAGGTGAGAAGCAAACACAAGCTTGGGTGGACTTGGGCACATCCTGCTGTTCCCAGCGCTCCCCAGCACAACTATGTCAAAAGCTGGTGAGCACACTGACTAACCACTGCCCTTGGAAGTTTCAGCTATAGAAAATTAAATAAAAGTTCAATTACACGCACACACGCACATATTACATAATTATATAATTTAATCAAATTAATAATAAATTAAATACAATATTTAAAAATTAATTTTGCAACGATAAATCAGTTATTCATCGTAGTAGTAATTCCATGTGTAGCACTTATTTATAGATTATTTATTGCAATATTTTTTTTCCTAACGTAAATTTCTTTTGAAGTAAATGTATCTGGTTTTTTCTTGGAAAACAAAAGGGGAAAAATTACTTTTTAGAGAACCTGACATTAATTTAAAATTTTCATACCCCCTGTCTTCGGCGTAAACCAAACTAAATTGCATTAGATTTCTCCTTAGAACAAGATAACTCCATTTATCAGAAAAATAAACTTAAAGGGTTAGTTCACCCAAAAATGAAAATTAGGCTGTGTTTTACTCACCCCCGAGGCATCCTAGGTGTATATGACTTTCTTCTTTGAGACGGATCCTGTCAGATTTATATAAAAATTTGTCTTTGATCTTTCAAGCTGTTTAATGCCACTCAGCGGGTGTTGCATTGCTTCAGTCCAAAAGAACTTAAATAAAAATCGCCCATCCATAAAAAAAAGTGTCTCACACGGCTCCGGGGGGTGAACAAAGGCCTTCTGTAGCGAATCGATGCGTTTTTGTAAGAAAAATATCCATATTCAAAACGTAATAATCACTTGAATCTAGCTTGCGC